AAAATTGCATTAAATCTTTTCCTCAAGATAAGCCAAATATAAGATAAAAATTTAGAATCTCTATCAAAAGTAATTGATTTTGATACCCTATGTAGGTGCATGACTTCTTGAAAGAATAGCCTAACAATATGTATTGCAGCTGAAGTCTTTTGACATGGTATGAAATGAGCCATATTGAAGAATCAATCTATAACCATAAACACAGAATCAACTCTCCTCTGAGTTCTTGACAATCCCAATACAAAATCCATAGATAAATCCTCCCAAATGTCTTATGTGGTAATAGCATATATAGACTAGTGTTTTGCGACTGGCCCTTTGCAGTTTGATGAGTCAAACATTTTTTTACGAAATTGCCAACATCCCTTTTTAATTGTGGCCAAAAGTATCTCTTCTCGATGCTTGCTATTATTTTGTCTTGCTCGAAATGTTCGTTGAGTCCTCCTCGATATAAATCTCGAATAATCTTTTCTCGTAAGGATATCATTGGAATGCATAATGTATTACCTTTGAATAAGTAACCATCGTGGATATGATTGGATAAACCAAATGACATAACTAATCATTCATATAAGCCTTCTATTGTCTGAATATAATATTCAATTCATCTTCAACTCTTATACGAATTTGATGATATCCACAATGAAGATAAATATTTGATAAAATCTTGGAGCCTTGTAGTTGATCCAATATATCTTCTAGTCAATATATGGGAAAGCGATACTTTACCATGATTTTATTGATGGCTCTACTATCGATGCACATCCTCTAGCTTCCATCTTTCTTAGGTGTCAACAAAGCTGGGATTGCACATAGGCTCATACTTTCTCGAATATGTCCCTTCTACATCAACTCTTCTACCTTCCTTAGTATATAATTCTTTTTTTGGTTCATCTAATAGTAAGACAAATTTGGTAGACTTGCTCGTAGAGCTAAATCAATTTGGTATTAAATATCTCTCATGGGTGAAAGTTCTGATGAAAAATCTTGGGGCGACATCATATGCGCAACGGAAGAACAGAAAACAAAATCCCCAATTCCCAAAGATATGTTCGTCGTCGTGCGAAGATTGGTATGCAAAATCCGTGAAACTTAAAATTACGTATAGAATAGATTGTGTTACCTAGGGAGATCATATATCCTTGAATCCTTGCATATCTCTAGGAGAGTGTGAAGGAGGTCAAATGCTCTCCTCTCTGACGGTGATCCACACAATAGAGTTGCGACGATGCTCCTCAAAACTCCAGGTCTGCTTTAAGGTGAAGAGGGGGAGGAGAATATGAGAGGCAAGCAAAAGCTCAGCCTATGAACCACCAGTTCCTTCCTATTTATAGAGATCCCCTATCAACTTAACCCTAATGGATCCTATTCAACTATCCAAGCCTCTTAGATTAGTGGATCTCTATCTAATAATCTCTCATGGGCTTTTATTATATCTCATTCATAGGATCCAATGATTCATGGGCTTATTGCATATCCAATAATATAGGGGCTCCGACAGATATCTCATATTCGAACCTCTACTCATCGCAATGCCTACAATATGTATATGACCCTCTAGGCCCAATATCGAGCAAGCCGTGAGTCATACCTGTCAGAACTCCTTTTGGCTCAGTGAATTATTATCTCCATAATAATTCACTCGACTCATCGACTACAGATGTACTAGGCTACTACGCCGCAGTCCTTAAATGATACAGGGGAATCTAATCCATTGGACCTGTCTGTCATCAATTACCATATACCTATAGTCACTCATCCATCTAATATCCCAGAGACCATATACGGGTATGGTACTGTCAAACTCAAACGATTTCTACTTGAGTCTTGCTTTAATCTAATTCTCCCGGAGAATTCTTTCTCTCTCAATCCGAATAACCCTAGCTAAAGATTTGTTTGAGCAAGAACACATGAGACATTCCTCTCATGACACCAAGAGTGAATGATCCTCTATCGACACTCAATAGGTCTTAAGGTTGACTACCACTCCCGAAGACCGATTGTGCTAGATCTGGGACATCCAAACTTATAAGTTTGGTATCAAAGAGTGGAGCACTCATACATGACATCCTTAGTGTCTAAGGACCAAGATACACCACTGGGACTACAGAATCACTGTCTGACAATAAGGCATCATCAACTATCCAATATTCCGTAAACGGATCAATTAGTGAACTCATTCCCCAATAAGCACCTGTATTGTATCTCTAGTGTCCCCACACGAGCAGCTATGAGACCAGCTACATCCATCATATGGATGGGTATACAACACACTAGTCTATCCGGTTATCTCGATGTCCCTCTCGAGTAACCTATGACCGGGATTA